GGGGGGGCCGGGGAGCCGCGCGGAGTCCCTGTGCGCTCCGTTCTCAACCGTGGGCAGCCCCGGCCCCGGCCCCGGTTCCGGCGCGGGGATGGACGGCCCCGGGGCCAGCGCCGTGGTCGTGCGCGTCGGCATCCCGGACCTGCAGCAGACGGTGAGCCCCGCCGCCCCAGGCCCGCCGTGCCCCTGAGCTCTCCGCCCGGGACCCCCCTACCCCCGCCCGGCGCGCCCAGCACCCTAGACCCCCTGGCCCAAGGCTACTCACCCCTCCCCCGCCACCTCCGCCGGGACCCTCCCCATCGCTGGGGCGGGGCCGGGGGAAGCCCAGCCTCGGGGCGGGGCTTCGATCTCAGTGAGTGGAGGCTCAGGGTGCTGGCTGTCCTTTCCCGAGCCCCGGACTCCGGCTGGGGCCCAGGGCTCGGCGCCCTGAGCTGAGCCGAGGCGGGCGGGTCCGCGCTCCCCGGGTCTGCGCTCACGAGCCCGCTCCGCTGCAGAAGTGCTTGCGCCTGGACCCGGCCGCGCCCGTGTGGGCCGCCAAGCAGCGCGTGCTCTGCGCCCTCAACCACAGTCTTCAGGACGCGCTCAACTATGGGCTTTTCCAGCCGCCCTCCAGGGGCCGTGCCGGCAAGTTCCTGGATGAGGAGCGGCTCCTGCAGGAGTACCCGCCCAACCTGGACACGCCCCTGCCCTACCTGGAGGTGCGACTGGCAGTGTGGGATCACCGAGCTCTGGGTCATGGTTAGGAAAGGGCCTGGCCTACACTCACAGAAAGAGTTAGGGTGGGAGCAGTGTAAGTGGGGGGCTCTGTGCGGGGAACGGTACAGCACGTGCAGCGTGGGGTGCGCCGTGAGCGGAAGCAGCATGTGCAATGAAGGGAACACAGTGAACGGGTGCAGTGTGGCGTGTGCAGTGAGTGGGTACAGTGTGTGCAGTGTGGGGTGTACAGGGAGCAGGTGTAGTGTGCACTGTGGGGAGTGCCGTGAGTGGGTACAGTGTACAGTGTGGAGCACAGTGAGGGAGAGGTGTGTGTAGTGCAGTGTGTGTGCTGAGTGGGCACAGGGTGTGCAGAGAAGGGAATACAGCAGGTGCAGTGTGTGCATTGAAGGGAGCATAGTGAGCAGGAGAGGTGTGTGCAGTGTGGGGTGTGCAGGAAGTGGGTACAGTGCAGTGTGGGGTGTGCAAGAGGCGGATGCAGTGTGGGGAGCACAGTGAGCGAGTACTGTGTGGGGTGTGCAGGAGTGGGAGCAGTGTGTGCAGTGAGTGAATGCAATGTGTACAGTGTGGGGTGTGCAAGGAGTGGGGGCAGTGTGTGCAGTGTGGGATGTGCAGTGAGCGATGTGTACAGTGCCTGTTTGATGGGAATATGTCCACCACTGGCCAGTGAATACAATGTAAGCAGTGTGTACAGTGCTTGCAGCAAGCAGTAGGCATAGTGAGCAGAGTGTGTACTGTGTGCAGTGTAAACAGTCCACAGGCCATGCACTTGGCATGTGTAATATGTGCAGTGGGCAGCATATGTGCTGTGAGCACTAAATATTGTTCTGGGGGAGGAGTCTGAGGAAAGTGAGTGCTGCGGGGTATGTGGTGTGAGCACCATACTTGTGTGCACCTTTGCCCTGCTCCCCCAGCTGTGAAGGCTTCTGAAGTTCAACTTGTCAGTAAGTTCCTTTGTTTGCTCGCTCATCATGATGTGAAGGTGTATTGAATACCCTGCCAGATCTGGGGTCACAGACTGAGCTAGTCCTGATGGGACGAGAAGGTCTTGCAGTTGGGTGGAGGTAGTGTTTAAGTGTTTATCTAAAAATTATGGTAGCTGAGTTGAAAGTTAGTCTGACCTCTGTGATGGCCTAGGGAAGTGGGGTCAGTTCTACTTGGAAAGGCTGTCTAGGAAGTGAGCCTCAGGTCTTGGGAGAGATGGGGTTTTCTGGGAATTCTAAGTATTGCCAGATACAGGGCAGCTGGGCATGCTTCTCCCATAACACCATGAGATGTGTCTGAGTGTGGTGAGTACACAGCAGCTGTCAGTTCTGCCTGTCTATGGTGGGAATATGTACATCTGGGGTCTGGGTGGCTTTGGGCTGGAGGGCAGTGAGCGGGGTGCAGCATGGCCGACTGTAGGATGGGGTGTGTGTGCATACTCACTTGCTCATCCTGGTGGGTACCTTTTCTCCACCTTTTCTTTATTTGAGCAGTTTCGCTACAAGCGTCGAGTTTATGCCCAGAACCTCATTGATGATAAGCAGTTTGCAAAGCTTCACACAAAGGTAAAGAGATTATTCTGGGGAGGAGATTCCAGGAGTTACTTCCCCCCTCTCTGTGGCTACAGCCCCTACCGAAGCTTGAGGCTGACGACAGGCCCTCTGGTTCAGTCTGCTTCCCTACTGCTGTCAGAGCACTGGGGAGAACTGGCACAGGCTTCAGGCCCTGTGGCTGGGGGCTCGCAGTCTAGTGATGGGTTCTAGTCAGATCAGACTCTTGCTTACCCCTCTGGTGAACCCCTGATGGAATGTTCTGTGAGGAGCTAGGTAGAAGACAGTGGATAAACATCTGATGATGGTTGTCCAGGACATGGTGCCCAACATTTAGTGCTTACCTGTGTTGGGCACTTGTAATTAGGTATCTCATTAATTCTCTCTTGGGAAGGGACTGTTTTGCCCTATTTTGCTGATGGGGGAAACTGAGTACCCTAGAGGTTAAGTCACTTACTCATAGCTGTGAAACCAGTAAAGCTGGGGCTGAACCTAGATCTGTCTTATTCCAAGCCCTGTGGCAGGCACACCTGTGAGGTGTTTTACTGCAGGGCAGTACTCACAGGTGGGCCTGACCCCAAATGCTCTTTAAGGATACCTCACTGCCTCCTCTGAATGTTGGAGGGGTAGAGTAGGTGCCATAGCCTTTCCTTGTGGGCAGACTTCTTGAACTCCCACCCCAGGCTCCTTGGGCCAGTGGGCATCTGCTTATTGGACACTTTGTTGATGGTCTCTGGAGCTTAGGATAGGGATCTGAGCACTGCCACTTCTGTGACTAATGATCCTGTCTGTGACCCCAGAGCCTCAGGCTTCTGTGCCAGACTTTTCTGCTGCCCCAAGGCAGGAGGTATTGGAGGCCATGGCTGTGTAGCTGAGCAGGGACCATAGTGAGGCTTCCTCTCCCTCCACTGGCCCTCATGTGACCTTGTCCCTCTGGGTTCTTCCCCCAAGGTTACCTCTCCTTTAACAAGGCATGAATGACCTTCTTCTTCAGTGAGTCCTGTTTGTTTTCAGGATGAGTCTGAGTTTCTTAGAATAGCCCTGGGTTCCTGCCTACCAGGCTCCAGCCAGCCCTTTCCTCTCCCCACACCCTGGTTTTGGCTTTCAATAGGCCCCCTCCTTGGCTGTGAACACTCCTCTGGTTTCATTGCCCTGGCCCACCTGCAGAGATCTCCTCCCCTGGCAGTGGTCCTTGGTTAACCCTCTCCTGTTTCTGTAAGGCTCCAGGCCATTAGTCATGGCACCCTGCCTCAAGTGTGAAGCATTAGTGGCTCCAGCCAGGGCTGGTGAGGCTTTTCTGGGTGGACAAATACATGATTGGGTATATGAATGAAAGGCAGTTAAAGTCATGTCACAGAGGGGCCCTTGAGGTGGGGAGGACCCTCTGTGGGAAGGGAGTCTGCCATGGGGCCAGCTGGTGAAGAAGATGGGCCAGAGAAGGAGCAGCTGCCAGGATCCCGATGAGGACTCAGGGCTGCCCTGGGGTTCATTCCTGTCAAGTGGTCTTTGGGCTCTTGCAGGCTAAGCTATTTGGGCTGGAGAGGGGAAGAGTCAGTGCAGTGGATAGAGCTGGAGTAGGGGAATTGCTTGTGGGGCACAAGTGGGTGACCTGTCCTTACGGAGGAGCTAGCTGGGCTAAGGCTGGCAGTTGTGGTGGGTTTGGATGTCAGGATGCCAGGAAGGGCTTTGAGCCTCCCATGGGCCTATTGGGTTGGAATCAGGGCTGAGGGTGCTGGTAATGATGTTGGGTGCCAAGCCAGACTGATGGAGGTGGGGCAGTGACACTCACAGGTGGTCTGAGGCTTGTGGACAAAGGTGTCCGTAACTACCTCCCACCTTGTGGGAGGAAAGCAGGTGGTGGCAGATGATGGTGACCATGGTGTTGGGCTGACCAGGATGGCCATTGTTCCAGGCAAATCTGAAGAAGTTCATGGACTATGTGCAGTTACACAGCACGGACAAGGTGGCCCGCCTGCTAGACAAGGGGCTGGACCCTAATTTCCATGACCCTGACTCTGGAGGTGAGGAGCAGAGCAGGGAGGGGCATGGCCTATAAATGGCTGGGACCTAACCTTCACTTGTCCCCTAACTCAGAGTGCCCTCTGAGCCTCGCAGCCCAGCTGGACAATGCCACAGACCTGCTGAAGGTTTTGAGGAATGGTGGTGCCCACCTGGACTTCCGTACTCGAGACGGGCTGACTGCTGTGCACTGTGCCACACGACAGCGGAATGCAGCAGCGCTGACGGTCAGTGAGACCTGGCCTGGAGAGGCACATAGCTTCATGGGGAGGGGGGAAGCTGGGCCTGGCTATTTGGATGCTGAGGTTATTTGCCCTCAGACCCTGCTGGACCTGGGGGCTTCACCTGACTACAAGGACAGCCGTGGCCTGACACCTCTGTACCACAGCGCCCTGGGGGGTGGGGATGCCCTCTGCTGTGAGCTGCTTCTTCACGACCATGCTCAGCTGGGGACCACTGATGAGAATGGCTGGCAGGAGATCCACCAGGTGGGCAGGGAGTTTGAGGTGGGGGTCCCAGCCTCTTGTGTAGGGCTGGGGATCCTGGGCTGTGTTGTGGGTGGGCCCCCCAGGCTCTGTCCAGGGGCTCTACAGCACACCTTCCTCCCCCAGGCCTGCCGTTTTGGGCATGTACAGCACCTGGAGCACCTGCTGTTCTATGGAGCTGATATGGGGGCTCAGAACGCCTCGGGGAACACGGCCCTGCACATCTGCGCCCTCTACAACCAGGTACACTTATGTCCACTTGTGGTCCTCGTGCTGCCCAGGTTTACACTGAGCACATAGTTATATGTCTGCCTGTGTGTGAGGCCTGTGCCTTCATACCTGTGTGCACCGTGGGTGTGCATGTGCTACTGAGCCCTGACCCCAACCCCATGGCCTCTCAACAGGAGAGCTGTGCTCGTGTCCTGCTTTTCCGTGGAGCCAACAAAGATGTCCGCAATTACAACAGCCAGACGGCCTTCCAGGTACACAGGGGGTTTATAGGAGTGTGAGGCTGCCCCAGAGGGTGTCTGTCTCTGTATGACTTGACATAGTCTACACCCTGGCTCTTCCCTGGAAGGCATCAAGTTTGCACCCATGCTTAGGGTTGCCCTAGGAGGGCTATCGGGAGGGGGATGGGCCACACTGCCCAGTGTGAGAGGACTTAAGAATGATGGCTTTTTTATCCTGTTTCTGGAGGAGAGGAGGTCAGAGGGCTCTGAGGTGTGGCCCCAGGACAGGCAGGGGCACAGAAGCCACACTGGAGAGGGGGTTACAATCTTAGCTCCTGAATGAATTCAGGGGATGTTTCTGAGTCCTTTTTCTAGCCACATCTGGCTGGCAGCAGATGGCCAGGTCAACTAAGGTCTCTGTGTGCCTGGAGTCTGGGGGGCAGTTGAGAATGTCACAGACTTGCAAGACCATGGCAGGAGCTGTGGAGAGAGAGCTGGTCAGGCTGTGGGCTGTTGGGTCACTGTGAACCTGGTGGATTTGGGCACATCTGGAGTGAACACCTCATGGCGTACTGAATAGCCTCAGAACCAGGTCATGGGAAGGGATGAAGGAGGCTGACGGGCTGACAACAGCAGGCCATGGTTGAGACAGGACAGACAGCTGCATGTCGAGGGGACAAAGAGTCCAGTGTGCTCCAGTTGGCCTGGGACTGTTTGCTTTTGTCTCTGGAATTCTTATGTCGGGGACACCCCCAGCCCTAGGCAGATGGCTGGTGGTCATTTAGTTATAGGGTGTGTGCAGAACCCTGTTGCTGCTGTCTGTAACTAGCAGCATCCCAGTTACAGACAGGATTTGTAGCTAGAGAACTGGGGGCCCTTAGGGTGTAGGTTTGATACTGCTGAGCTCCCCTCCCTGTTCTCTGTGACTCCCCACACCCCTATCCCCAGGTGGCCATCATTGCAGGGAATTTTGAGCTCGCTGAAGTCATCAAGAACCACAAGGACTCAGATATTGGTGAGTACTGCCTACCCAGGGGTCCTGGCGGATGTGGGCATGTGTAGTGGTCAGGGGCCCAGCAGGTACAGGGGCTAGTGGTGACATGACAAGGGGATCCCAAATCTCAGGTCTCTTCCAGCTTGACTCTATGTGACTGTGGTTTGCTAGTGACCCCTGCAGCTGTGGGATGTGCTGAGTGGACAGAGGTTTTTGTCAGAGTTAAGAGCATGGTCGGGTTTGGGCTGTGGCCTGGAGCTGGCCCTGGGCTTAGGGGTCAGCTTAGGTCAAGAATGGGATGCAAATTAGGGTCAGGATCTGGATTTACTATTAGGTCCTAGGAAGGACTGGCAGGAGATGTAAGGCCAGTAGATCTCACTTCAGCCAGAATAAGAGTGAGTCTAAGGCCAGGCGTGGCGGCTCACGCCTGTAATCCTAGCATTCTGGGAGGCTGAATTGGGAGTCTTGCTCAAGCTCACGAGTTTGAGACCAGCCTGAGCAAGCACAAGACCCTGTCTCTAAAAAAAAAAAAAAAAAAAAAAAAAAAAAAAAGAGCTAGACGTTATGGTGGGCACCTGTAATCTCAGTTACTTGGGAGGCTGAGGCAAGAGGATCACTTGAGCCCAAGAGTTTGAGGTTGCTGTGAGCAATAATGCCATGGCACTCAACCCCAGGGTGACTAAGTGAGACTTAGTCTCAAAAAAAAAAGAGTGAGTCTAGATGGCCCATAGCATGCTCTCAATATGACAAGGTCACTTAATGTGCATGTGGAGAAGACTAAACACTGTGATGAGGCTGAGAATAGGGCAGCAGCTGTCTACAAGGTGAGAGGCTCTGAGGCTCTGAGCTCCCTGTGGCCAGTTGCAAAGGGAAACCTAGCACGTGCATGACTTCTGGTCCTAGAAGGAAAACCAGGAGTATACCTGTGGCCTTAGCTTCAGGACAGATAGGGCACAGGGCACTGCTTTCACACCTGGGCCTCTGGGGGTTCCCACCTACTCCCATGTCTCTGGGGGCTGTGGGGCCAGGCTGGGACCTGTCCTGTGTGTGGAGTTGCTGGGGCTGGAGGAGAGGTTGGGCTTCCCCTCCTGGAGAAGGTGCTGTCTGGCCAGAGGCGACTCCCTCTAGCTACCTGGCTTCACAGGAATCCCCTTCCTGGACCCCTCCATGTCTAGGATGGACAAGGCTTTTCCTGTTCCTCTCACTGGTATGTGGACACCCAGGCCCACCTTCTTGCCATGAGTGTTTTTTTAGGGTGTGTGTCCTCATTTCTAATGTCTCTCTCTCTCTCTTTTTTTTTTATATTTGAAATGACTGTGGGTGGGCAGCAAAGAGCTGGCAAAGGTGTTAAGATTTCCCAGCCACATACATGTAAGGTGGCGGGTTCGAATCCAGCCCGGACCCGCCAAACAACAATAATGGCTGCAACCAAAAAATGGCCGGGCGTTGTGGCGGGCGCCTGTGGTCCCAGCTACTTGGGAGGTGGAGGCAGGAGACTCGCTTGAGCCCAGGAGTTGGAGGTTGCTGTGAGCAGTGAAGCCATGGCACTCTACCCAGGGAGATAGCTTGAGGCTCTGTCTCAAAAAAAAAAAAAAAAAAAAAGGATTTCTAATGTGAGGTTATGGTGAGACTTGGGGTTGAGTTTTGGACTGGGGTTCAGATTAAGGTGAAGTTCATGTTCAAAGGGCCTTCCTTCGTAGAGCTTCCTCTGAGCAGCACCCTTCTCCCTGCCCTATAGTGTCAAGGTGGTGCTAACATCTGGACTGTCCAAAGGCACAGGAGGCCTCAGGGGGAGCTGTGGCTGCTCATGTGCAGCAGGCGTCAGTAGTTGGGTACTGAGTAAAGACCTGAGGCAGTGGAGTGGTTTAGGGTTGGAGTCCAGGTTCAGATCAGGAGAGAACTCTAGTAAGGTATGGGGTTTGAAATGGGGTGAGAGATGGTTACAATCTGGTTGGGGCTGGTAAGTGTCTTGGGGGTGGTCATTAGCATGGGAGGACCCTGGTGTGTGGATGTGTGGGGGCTTCTTTTCTGCCTGTGATTGTCTATCCACAGGAAAGCCACTTGAGATGTCTGTGCTTCAGTTTCTCTCAAATAGAATACAGTGTTACAGTTATTTGCAGCCCCTTCCTAACTGGTATATTATGGCATTTGACTCTGGGTGGGGCTGGACTCTGGCTGTTGGGCTTTGGTCTGTCCAATTGAGGGGACTTGTTATCTAGGTTGAGAGACAGGAAGGCCCCAGTTGGCTCTCATCTTTGTGATATGAACAGAGATGGCAGGGCTCCTCTGATGCAAGTGTGCTTGGTTGATGGAGTGTAGGCACACCATCCTGGGGCAGTATCTGGACAGGAGTGGGCATCTGTGCCACATGATCCTGACTGATCATTGGCTTGCCTGGCCAGCAACACACTTACCTGTTCAGGTGTCACACAACATACTCAGATGGCATAGCTGGATATCCCTGAGTCTGTACATGCATTTATTGGTATTTACTATAAACCCCCTTATCTCAATTCACCCTCTCAACAAATCCCTAAGGAGTCATTAATAACCTGTTTTATAAAGAGGGAAACCAAGGCACAGAGAGGATAATGGCAGACACTGTCTTCAGACTCACAGGTCTGTTGTTGTCACCCTGGTCCCTCTGTACACATTCATTCCAAGAACATTCTGTGAATGACAGTTATGAGTCATTATGTCCCACCCCATCTGGGGCCACTGGGTGGGGCTCTGCCCAGCCTTCCTTATGTGGAAAAGCAGGAACCCACCTGGTAGGGTTGGGTAGACTGGGACTTGTGTTACCCTCTAGGGGATAGGACATCTTGTTACCTCTTGGTAGCTTCACTTGGTCCCTCTAGATGGTTAGGCCTCAGGCAAGGACCCTGGCTTGAGAGTGGTCACCTCTGTTTTCCTTACCTCTGTCACCTTGAGGCACCCTTTGGGTCACATTTTCTCTTACCTTTTCTCTCATGCACATGCACACATGCGTTCACATGGATTTAGAATCGTACAGTGCTTTTGCTGAGTGCCCTGGGAAAATGCTTCTCATGTGGTATTGTGGTACTGTGGTACTATCCTAGGGACCTTGTTAAACCTAGATTCTGACTCAGTAGGTCTGTGTGGGGCCTGAGGTTCTGCATATGTAATCAGTTCTGCGATGAGGCCCATGTGCTGATCCTTGGACCACACTTTGCACAGCAGGGCCTGGCAGAGTATGCCTCATAGACCAGATCTAGCCCACAGCCTGCTTTGCATTTAAAATGAAATGTTCATAATATTGACCATTTTGCTTGAACAGTTCAGTGGCATTTCATACATTCACAATGTTGTGCAGCCAGTTCTATTAAAGCCGAAAACATTTTCACTACCCCCCAAAGAAAACCACAGACACATCAAGTAATTTTATATTACCCTTGCCCCATCTTCCATCAGCTGTTAATATCTTTGCAGATTTACCTGTTCCTGATATTTCATGTAAATGGAATCATACAGTATGTGACCCTTCATGTTTGGCTTCCTTTACTCAACATGTTTTTGATTTTTTTTTTAGAGACAGAGTCTCACTTTATTGCCCTTGGTAGAGTGCTGTGGAGTCATAGCTCACAGCAACCTCCAACTCCTGGGCTTAGGTAATTCTCCTGCTTCAGCCTCCCAAATAGCTGGGACTACAGGTGTCCACCACAACACCTGGCTATTTTTTGTTGCAGTTTGGCTGGGGCTGGGTTTGAACCCGCCACCCTCAGTATATGGGGCCAACGCCCTACTTACTGAGCCACAGGTGCCACCCTCAACATGTTTTTGAGCCTCATCCATCTTGTAGAGTGTACCTCTACTTCATTCCTTTTTATGGCCAAATAATATTTCTTTGTATGAATGACATTTTGCTTATTCATTCATCCATTTTTGGATGTGTGGGTTGTTTCTGCCTTTTGACTACTGAGAATATTGCTGGTATGGATGCATATGTGTGTACATAAGTTCTGTGTGAATACCTGTTTTCAGTTCTTTTGGGTATGTACCTAGATGTGTAATTGTGAGGTCATATGATGATTTTTATGTTTAACTTTTTCAAGGATTGCCAAACTGTTTTCTACCATTTTGTGTTCCTACCAGTAATATATGAGACTTCTCATTTCTTCAGATTCTCGCCAATATTTATTATTATCCTTTTCAAAATTTTTATAGCCATCTTAGAAAGTATGAAGTGGTATTTCACTAATGACTAACAATGTTGAGAATTTTTTCATGTGCTTATTGGCCATTTGTATGTCTTTTTTTTTTTTTAGAAACATGAAGTTCTTTGTCCATTTTTAAGTTGGATTGTTTATTTTTGTTAAGTTGTAAGAGTTCTTTGTGATTTCTGAATACTAAACTCTTATAAGATATCTGATTTGTAATTTTTTTCTTCTGTTCAGTAGGATAGGAAGTTCTTGTGACTTTCTTGATAATGTCTTTTGGTATATTATTTGGTTTTGATGAAGTTTAATGTATCTATTTTTTCTTTTGTTGCTTGTGCTTTTGGTGTCATATCTGAGAATCTATTGCCAAATCTAAGGTCATGAGGGTTAACCCACTATGTTTTCTTCTAAGAATTTTATGGGTTTAGCTCTTAATATGGTGTGAGGTAGGGATCCATCTTCATTTTTTTGCACAGGGATATCCTATTGTACAGCAGATAGTCTCCTTGTTGAAGAGACTGCTATTTTCCCATTGAATGGTCTTGATATCCTTGACAAAAATCAGTTCTTCATAGATATATAGGTTTATTTGGATGTGCAATTCTATATCCCATTGGTCTATATAACTTTTCTTACACCAGTATCACAGGTTTTGATTACTGTGGCTTTGTAATAGGTTTTGAAATCAGGATTTTTGAGTGCTCCAAATTCATTCTTATTTTTTTAATACTGTTTTGGCTAATCAGGGTCCCTTAAGATTCCACATAGATTTGAGGATTGCTTTTCTGTTTCTCAAAAAAAGGATGTTGGGGCGGCACCTATGGCTTAGTGGATAGGGTGCTG